GGTTTACTTTTGTTTGTCCTTTCGCATTACTCCCATGCATGACCTGGATATGAGTTGCGAGAGCCATAGATTGCTGTTTTGTAGGTGGTGTCCCGCTGAGCGTTTGCTTCTAAAATTTTCGGGAAAAATAAAGTGCTACTTTTTACGATTAGGTACTATTTTACGTTTAAGGTCATTCGAGTGAACAACCTAACCTCGGTAAATGTGGCCTTTCATGCCTGTGGTTCGATCTGATCGCATTGATCTGCATAACCAGTCTGTCGTAGACTCATTATCCTACCTACATCTGATGCCCTGTATACGGTGCTGTTTCTTATACCGCTTGCTTGTTGGAATGTGATCGTCCGGATTCACACCCTGCTCAGCTTAAGACGACCTGTCTTAAAAATGCACATGTGCCGACAGGCATCGGCGGAAACCTAGCTCATGCTTTGCCTCCCGGGGCGTCATAACGACTACCTAAATGCGCGTATGTGTGCCAGTGCCTCTAATGAACTTGACGTATTGTAATCTCTGACTTCGTAGGCCGCCTGCTAACTGTTGTTAGTATTGTATGTTTGGCTATACCTCCGCAGTATTTTTGTTCCGAATGCAAATCGATGGAAGTTTGAACACTTCCTAAGTTGACGGCTATCTTGCAGAAGTTTGTGCGCGTTCCCTTGCAGTCAACTATCAGCTCAGCATTTGCAACTGCAGCGACGAATTTCCCCGGTACATACCGGCGTCTCTGGTGATTGAGGTACTTCAGCACCTGCACTGATCTCTTGGAAGGCCGGCAATTTCCCAGTTCGCAGTTTACTTTGGAATGGTAATGCTTTGGCCGTTAAACTTAAACTCCAGCAGATCGATATGATCGTCATATTCCAGATTGGTCCGCCAACGTCTGGGTAATAATTTGACGCCGGAACCTGGTCGGTCTGGAGTCCCAATGTCAGCAGATTATTTTAGTTCAGTTCTTAACATTTACTTTCTCCTTCCCCTCATTGAGTACATGAGGCTTGCAGGTCACTTGGTTTTACGATATCAAGCCTTTGCGTACTACGTGTTTTGTGCGTGAATGGGACATGAGCCTTCTGAGATCAGTTTAAGGAACACCGCGGACAGGTCAAGAAAACTGGGATTTACTCAAATGGCTTCAGCCTGACTGGTAACCAGACAGTTGATGGCATGCCACAGCTGCAGGGGTGTGCAGACATACTATTAGCAAGCGTTCTTCTAAAGTACGAGACTGCCGAACTATCGTTTACCGCCGTTTCATCGCTCACCAATCAAACAGAGTCCAATGGGCTGTCTGGCAGTATAGTCGCCTTTCTCACACTGGCCGTTTTAGACGCATAAAATGACCAGCAGATCGTAATAGGGGGGTTTGCGCATCAGGTTTCAATTTATTTGTCTTTGAAAACCCTTTTGATCGCATGCCGACGCGTCGTATACGCTTGTACACGCACGCTTAAAATTTTCATTTTTGAAATGGTATTTACAAACTGTAAGTAGCGTTTTTTTTTACAAATTTCTCTTGTGTCGTTTGCGGTCAAAGGTATGTCTATGAATCTGCCAGTGTCGATTGGTTTTCTGTTGTTTCCCCTGACGCTTATATTCATTCTGACTTGTGAGACCCGCACAACGGCACTACAGCGCCGCTGGCTGGCCTTCTGGTTACGGGGGTTTCATATGTAACCTGAAATAGACTTCCGCCAGGTCGTCGATCCTGTTGGTTGTTCTTAAGAGCCGGCACGATCTAGCTATAATCATTTATCCTTCGAAAATTTAGTTATGTATCATGAACATCATCCTAACTGAGTCACATTTTGCGGATTCAGTCGAACCGATCCATCTTAGGTTACAAATTTTTCATCACAACTGCTACAGTAGTCGCCGGTTATTAAGCCCACGGTTAATAGGCCCAGCCGCG